CACTAACCCTAACCCTAAAAATGGACTCAATTTGCACTATCTCTGGCAGTCTGCAACCCCCCAAAGTCCTGTTCAACTCATACCAGAATCGGTTTTGGAACCTCTCTACCTACAACCAGCTCTGCTTTTAATTTCCCAGGACTGACTTTGGCTGTGTCTCTTTAACCTAGGCTGACCATGTCGATTGCTGTGGCTCATCATCCTCCGGTTTGATGCCTGATCTGAATCATAGTTCTGGCCGCCTGAAGCCTAAGGATTCCCACTGGACATCTTAATCCCATTCAATATCCACAAAATTCTTTGCCTACCCAACTGGGTGCAACTTCGGAGCTCAGTGAGCTCAGTCAGAAGGACATGATTCCCCATGGAAATCATTCCCCAGTTCCCTCTTATTTGTAGAGGATAAAGGCTCTCTAAGTCAAGCGTAGGTAACCGTGGCCCTTCTGAAATCTTTGGACTGCAGCTCCCACAATCCCTTGCCAGTTGGCGATGAAATATTTGGGCGGATGGGAGTTGTAGGTCGAGAAATATATACGGGAAAGGGGGCACGGTCACCTGTCTCTCCTCTAAATGCAAGGAGGAATGTTTAGCACCTGCTCATTACAAAGAAGTCAGTTTTACCTGCTCTCAAATCCCTCCATTTTGCCGAAGTATGTATTGTATGTATGTATTGCACATATATTGTATGTATTATACAAGATTTTTTTAAAATGACAGAATAAAAATGGAGTCTCAGTGTAGCCTCTGCTCCTGCATCCAGATACAACCTGGTTCATGGTTTGAAGTCCTTCACTGCCGCTGCCCAGATATCTCCTGGGTCCTCACTGGGATAGTAAAACCACAAGGAGATGAAGAAGAGTTGGAGATAATTTTATTCAACAAATGCAATTATTCCAGCCTGAAAGACAATAACTTTCCACTTCAGCCCCTACATAAAACAGAGGAGCAAAAAGGTTTCGTCGGGACCCAAACCACTGAGGCTGTTCGGTTCAAAAGGAGACCTGGAGGAGGAGCAGATGTCTCTCAATCTGTCAGGAAGAAAGCAGAAACATCAAGATCTACCTTGAAAGAAAATTCTGACCAATGTCTATTAGCAATACAGATCGAGTCTCTCTTATCTGGAGTTCTGAAATCTAAAATATTTAAAAACCCAAAGCGTTTTCCATGGGTGGCTGAGATAGTGACCCTTTTGCTTTCTGACAGTTCAGTGTACACAAACTTTGTTTCATGCGCAAAATGATGAAAAATATTGTATAAAAAACCTTCAGGCTATTTGTATAAAGTGTCTATGAAACATAAAGGGATTTTCTCTTTAGACTTGGGTCTCATCTCACAGATATCTCATTATGTACATATGTGCAAATTCAGGTATTCCAAAATTCCCCCCCCCCCAATCCAAAATCCCAAACACTCTGATCCCAAGCATTTCAGAAAAAGGAGGCTCAATCTGTTTGTTATTGTGTGCCTCTAAGTCATTTTTGACTTATGACAACCCTAAGGTGAACCTATTATGGGGTTTTCTTGGCAATTTTCTTCAGAGTGGGTTTGCCATTGCCATCCTCTGAGGCTGAGAGAGTGTGACATGCCCAAGGTCAACCAGTGGGTATAAGTGAGACTCAATCTGTACTGCTAGCTATATAGAACTGCCCTTCACAAGAACAATTTAACTTTTACTACCAGTTGAGAAAAACACAAGCAGTCTTCAAATTCTGCTTATGAATCAAACCCCACTTGGATCAACGTAACAGCAGGCCTAAATACCCGAAAGCAACCAGATCCTGTCTGATCTTGGAGGCTAAGCAGGGCCAGTCCTGGTTAGTAATTGGAGGGCAACTAAAATGGTGAAGTGTCTGGAAACCATGCAACTTGAAGACACAAACATATACATAGGCCTAAATACTCTAAAGACACCAGATCTCATCTGATCTTGGAAGTTAAGCAGGATCAGGACTAAAATTTTGCCCATTGTATTTCTTTCTTTCCTGGAAAATTGCCAGGCACCAGCAGCCAATAACTCAGGGATCAGCACCAGTCCATGGATCACCAATTTGAGTAGCCCCGATCCAGGAGAGCAATTTTCCATATGAGCTTGCCCAACGTTTTGTTTGGGGGACGTCCTTCTCTCTGTCCTATCACCCTCCCAGGTACCCCTGATGGGAACACTGGAGACAAGTTCTTCTTGGTGGCTGCTCCCAAGAAGTGCTTCGATTGGGAGTTCCTGCATGCCAGAGGGTTGAACTGGATGGCCCTTGTGGTCTCTTCCAACACCATGATTCTATGATTTTATAAACTCAGGAACTCCCTTCCCAGAGAGGTTAGATTGCTGCCTTTCTTGGTATCCTTCTATAGGCAGATGAAGATTTTGTTTTTTGTCTTGTTTCACAAGGCTTTTGAAGACTGATTGGCGAAAGATAAAGAGCCCCTAATAATATCCTGTATTCTCTGTATTTGTTGTTTTCCTGTTTTAATGGGTATACTTTTAATTGCTCTCAATTCTGTTGATACAAGTTGAGTCTCTCTTATCTGAAATGCTTTTTGTAGTATGTTTGGGTTTGGATTTTTTGTGGGGAGGGGGTGAGAGAGTTAGTGTATAAGTATATGTATTAGTATATATGTTATGTGTTAGGTGTTATATTTTTATATGTATTTAAGTGTTTAATAATAATAAAAAATTAAAAAAAGAAATGCTTGGGACAAGAAGTGTTTGGGATTTCAGATTTTTTTGGATTTTGGAATATTTGCATACACAGAATGAGATATCTTGGTGATGGGATCTAAGTCTAAAGATGACGTTCATTTATGATTGATATACACCTTATATACATAGCCTGAAGCTAATTTTATACATAGCGTTTGTAATAATTTTGTGCGTGAAACAAAGGTGGTATACACTGAACATCAGAATGCAAAGATGTCACTGTCTCAGCCACCCATGTGGATAATTTTGGATGTTGGAATATTTTAGATTTCGGAATTCTGGATAAGGGAGACTCAACCTGTGGTTGAATTATATTTTAACTTTTGTATGGTGTGTACTTTTAGCTGTATCTGTTAACTCTATCTTTGGTAAGCTCCAAAAAAAGTGGGAAATCAACCAACCAACCAACCAATGACAACAATAATAATAATTGTGAGCCTTGGACCCTCTGCTAGACTAAACACGAGCTTTGGCCTGAACCAAGAATTTTAGATTCTCATAAGTTTCCCTTTGAACTAGAGCAGACTGCAATCATTTTTCAGCAAAGTTGTTCTTGTTTGAGTACTAGCCAGTGGTTGCAAATATTCTGAACATTTGAAAGCAAGGATAAATGCCACAGTTGAAGTGTAGGTTATGTGTAGTTATCTGCAAGCGACCCAAATTTCCTTTTATTGCCAGACTAGAATACAGTCTCACCTCTTGCGTCTCTGTCCAGCTTCTCTTCAGATGACGTTGCTGCCCGATATACAAGAAAAGGAATAAACATTTGATTTGGTTCAAAACACAGAGGCTGAGATCCTACATCACGATTGCACAGAGTAAATCTCTGCACATGCAGCTATGCATCGATTGTGCTTATTAACTCTTGTAATGGACAGCAAAGGTGCACAACTGAATGCATGTTTGAAAGTGAGACCAAATACACCACTCATGCACGTTGTATGCGTAAATGGCATCATATGCACAACTCCACTTCTGCATCCCTGAACTGAAAGAAGTCATTCTGCATCAGACAAGAAGGCCTAGCTACTTCTGCAAGGGACTATGTGCATGCATGGAACACAATAGGATTCAAGCATTTACAACACTGCCCCCCTCCCCTTTGTTGTTGTTGTGTGCCTTCAAGTCATTTCCGACTTATGGCGACCCAATGGTGAAGCCATCATGGGGTTTTCTTGGCAAGATTTTGTTCAAAGAAGGTTTTAAATTACTTCTCCTGAGGTTGAGAGCATGTGACTTACCCAAGATCAGCCAGTGGGTTTCATGGCCAATCTGGGAATCGAACCCACATCTCCAGAGTCATAGTCCAACACTCAAACCTCTTTTATTGAATCATGGAACCATAGAGCTGGAAGGGGCTTCATGGGCCATCAAATCCAAACCCCCTTCTCAATGCAGGACCTCAGGTGCTGTGGTTCCCAAACTTTGATCCTCCAGGTATTTTGGATTTCAGCATCCAGAAGCCCCTGCTAGCTTGGTCAATAGGGAAGAATTATGGGAGCTGAGGTCCAAAACATCTGGAAGACTAAAGTTTGGGGATCATTGGACTAGAGTATCTCCAGTAAGGAACTGTCCAACCTCTTTCTGAAGATGTCCAAAGAAGGAAAGCCCACCACCTCTCTGGGCAATTGATTCATTGCAGAACTGCTCTCACTGTTAAAAAGTCCCTTCTAATGTCAAAATTCCTTCTACATTCCTTCTAAGTTGAAATCGTGTGATCGTGTCTTCTGTTCACCAAGCTGAACATGCCCAGCTTCTTCAACCTTTCCTCCTATGTTTTGTTCTCCATACCTCTTACAGTCCTCAGCCTTCTCTGAACAAGGGCACTTTATTGGGAACATGAGCACTTCTACCAGCTGGAATGAGGACAGGACATTCAGTTGGAATTGAGGTTTCAGCCAAGGTGCTGGTCCTGATCTGGATCAGGCCATTGGAACACATGAAACCACAGATGCATAACCTGTGGCCCTCCAGATGTTTTAAGAGGGGCACGTCCTCCAAATCCTAGCCAGGATTGTTGCTTCGGCCAGCAGTGGCTAGCAACTCCCATGTCAGTGGGGCAGTGAATCCACTCTGGGTTTTAGTCTGAAATTTAAGAGCGCTATGCAAGGGATTGGAACTTTTCCTCACTTTAAAGCCCAGAAGGGTTTCACAGAATGACAGATGTTGGTGCTACTGCTGGCTGCCATGCCCATCAGCCCTCCCCAGCAAAACCAATGGCGGTTGTTGATGGGAGCTGCAATCCAAACATTTAGAGGACTACATGTTACTCAGAACTGCATTAAACCCAGAGTAATTGGTTGCCAGTGTGGTGTATTGGTTTGAGCGTTGGACTACAGCTCCAGAGGCCAGGGTTCGAATCCCCATTGTGACCTTTAGCAAGTCACACTTTCTCAGCCTCAGAGGGAGGCAAAGGTAAACCCCCTCTGAACAAATCCTACCAAGAAAGCTCCACGATAGGTTCACCTTAGGGTTGCCATAAGCAGAAAAGACCTGAAGACACACAACAAGAAAATTAATATAAAAAGGGATCTCGTAGTACCTTTGAGACTAACTGAAAGAGGAAGCAGATTCAAGTCTACGAAATTCATGCTACCAGCTGCTTCCTTTCAATTAGTCTCAAAGGTGCTACAAGATCCCTTTGTAGACTGTTTTCCCGGACTAACACAGCTATGTCTCTGAATTCTAACAACAAAATTGGTTGTTTATGCAGTACTGACCATCCCCAAATGGCCAAAAAAATACACTGAGATGGCTGAACAAACTACACTACACAGGCAGACACAAGGACTTCCCCATAGATCCGGGGGATAGTTCAGTGCTTACAGATCCCCTTCATAAATACATAAATAACATGCACAACTTTTGAAAATCATGCCTTCGTGATGCTGGAGATGTGATCCTGTGGATAGGGGCAGAAGGAATGACTTTATACCATAAGCTGTTTCCTTCGCTCATTGGCAGCTGGTGGCACCTACAATAGTGAGGTGGTAAATTTGTTCCAGATTTTAGTCCGAGCTGTAAAGGAGCTATTCAAAGCACTAAACCAGGGGTAGGCAACCTTTACCCTTTAAGGGCCTAGGGACTTCAGCTCCCAGAATCCCAGGAGCTATTGGCCAACATGGGACTATTGGCCAACATGGCTGAGGCTTTTGGGAGCTGAAGTCCCTCGGCCCTTAAAGGGGAAAGGTTGCCTACCCCTGCACTAAACCCTCTCTCCTGCCCACAATAGATTCAATGTCTTTGATGGCTCCATTAGAGTTTGGAATAAATCCTGGAGTTGATTCACCATCCTACCAACATGGCCTTCTCCTCTTGCAATGACGGGATGCTCACCCTGGACTGGAAGCCTGTATCCATTGCAGCCAATCTTGGGTCTCTTCTGGTGGTACTTATCGCAGAACCCTTGTTTTCCAGCTTGGTAACAACACCAATTGTAGAGTTTCAACTCTTCATCTAGACACAAGTATCAAGAGAGAAAAGGATAGGAAACGATGGGAGCACGATTTGGTAAAGTTTCGAGGAATTAAATACCCATCTGGAAGCTAAGCAGGGTCAACCCTAGATAGTAGTTGCATGGGAACAACCAGGACCTGTCGGCAATATTTCAGAGGAAGAAACTTGGAAATCCAACTCTGAGTATTCCTTGTCTAAACAAACACGGAGTTTATGGATTGCCATAAGTTGACAGGCTACTTGAAGGCACATACACACACAGCTGCCTCTTTGTAGGACAAAGAAGACAACTATAATGCCTCTTGACACCACTTTAAGTCCTGCAGCTCCCTAAGTTCTTTAGCCTTCTCTGGAAAAAGAGTGCTGGCACTTCACCAAACTACAAATCCCAAGATTCTGTAGGATGAAGCCATGGTAGTCAAAGTGGTGTCAAACTGCATTATTTCTACAGTGCAGATGCACCCCAGCAGACAAAGCAGCATTGAAGCAGAGCTCACAATAGCAGTCTACATATGAATAAGCAGTTACTCTGAAAAATGGAAAGGGAGGGATAGCTGGGTCCACCTTGCTGTCTTCCCGTCTTGTTCCTGTTGGTTATTTCTTACAAGTGCCTGAGTATAAATGTCTTCCAACATGCCTTACCATTGTAGGGGAAGTTTCTCCGAGAGCCTTTCCAGATTCTTTCCTGATGACCGTCCACAAGCTGGCCATTGGCATTCTTGTAGAGACATCGGACCCCAGCGCCATACTTGTTTGGGAGAGAGGAATATAGCATAGTGAAGCTGGAGTCCAGCAAACCTGCAAGAATGGAAGACGTTTCTTAGATCTATTTATCTATCTAGATATATTTGTTATTAAAATATATTTTCTGTACTATAAAACTGACAATAATGGAAATACATAATACCACCACCAAGAGAAATACAAACATACAAAACATAGATAAGCATAAAATTACAAGCACACTACTAAATCTACAATAGTTAAAAAAAAACAGGGAAGGTAATAATGACTTCCATCTTTTCAACGACAGTGAAACTAAATTCACTGAGGCTCGGGGCACAGGACCCCCATGAAAGTGGGAAAACCACACATTAAAAAAATTATTTTTAATTTGAGAGAACGTCTCTCTAGGAATGAATCTCTAGGTCCTCCAGCACAACCCTATGGTCAACATCAGCCAGAATTTGACCATACAATTTGACCACAGAATTATGCTGGAAGACCTACAGATTCCTAAAGAGCATATCAGTTAAATCCATGAATAATAAAATCCACAAAAGTCAAAGCCACAAATGTGGGAGGCCAACTGTAATGGTTTCAAGAGTTGAATTTGAAGATTAGTAGAATCAGTAGAATTAGTAAACAACAGAAACTTAAGATAAGCGACTGACAAAAGAGATAGTTAGATACCATAACTTCTTCCTTTGTCAATCTGTTATCTGAAATTTCTACTGTTTACTATTTCTACTGACCTTCAGAGCCAATTATTGAAAATTTCCCCTGTTGTGTCTGTAAGAAAGCAATTTCTGGTTTCCAATCTTTCTTAAAATTACTCAGTAATTTCTCTCTAATTAAGACAGTCTATTTAGCCATCTCTACCAAATCATACAATTTCAGTATCCAAACCTCCCTCATCTTGTGCTTCCCTTTCTGTGCATATTGTAGTCTTGCAGCCATAGTCATATATTGTATAATTCCTTTGGAATCCTGGGATTGGTAGTTTAGAGAAGGCCATTTAACGTTCTCAACCAGATAATGTGAATGCATCCCTAGACAACAAACCCAAGGATTCCAAAAGATGTTGCCATGGTAGTTAAATCATACTGGTTCACAGTGGGCCCTTGGTATCCAAAGGGGGTTGGATCCAGAACCTCCATGGATACCAAAATCTGTGGATGCTCAAGTCCATTAAATACAATAGCTCAGTGAAATTGTATCCCTTATATAAAATGACAAAATCATGATGTTTGAATATTTTCAAACTGTGGATGCTTGAATCCTGTGGATAAAGAATCCGTGGATACAGAATCTGTGGATACAGAGGGCCAGCTGTAACTGTACAGTGTGAAAAGCATCCTGATATTCAGATGGTAGATTGTGAAATCCTTACTGGATTTTAGTCTGAACTTGAAAGTTATCCAAAGCTTTTCAAATGGCTTCAGCACCTTGAATATCTCCTTTAAAGTTTGGATTAAAACCAGGAGCAGATTCACCTTTCCTGGGCACACCTTAAGCACCTGAGCCCAGTGCTGAAAGTCACAGTGTGAAAAAAATGCCCTCTATACAATGTACCTTTTTTACTACGGATGAAACGATTGTCCAACACTCCCTGTCGCAGAGAGCAAGGGCAGGGCGGCAGGTCCTTGTTCCAGAAAGCCGGCTGTCTCTCATTGCTCAACCAATCCAGGCATCTCTGCCTATAGTTCAGCCGAACGCGGCTGTAAAGCTTGTAGATCCAGAGCCCATGCACCCCTGGAAAGAGATGCAAATGGAAAAATGTTGAGCAGAAGGCTGGACCAATTTAAAACTCAATTGCAACTTGCACATAATAAACATTTTGGGAAGATGGGGTCTCCCAAAGGTGGCAAATCACAATGCCTCAGCATGGCTTCATCAGGTATTTGTGATGCTGAAGGACACATTAGAAACCTCTGGTCCCATAGAGTTGCTGCAGTGGCCACTGAGTTTCTGAAATGGTAGGTGGATGCTGTGAAGGTTTTCATTTCCCCCCACCTCTACCACCCAATGTGAAGACCTCCTGCTGTTCCATAACTCTGGCATCAAATACGAGGAACTTCTAGATGCTCTCATGGTTCCTGTGAGAGACTATGGGCCTCTGCAGACAGCACAAAGCCCCGTCTTGGAGGCAGGGAAGGAGGGGCAGACGCACGCCAGCCGCCTCAACCCCTCCCCGAGGATGTCATCAGAGTGTGCGTCATTATGCACAGCACGTGCCCTGAATACTTCCTCCCGGTGCAGCATCTTCACGTGCTGCATCAGAAGAGATGTGAAAGAGCTGCGCGTTGACTTTTCCGGCGCCCTTTCTGTGACTTGAGAAAGGGGGGATGCAAATGGACTGCCCTGGGAAGAGGAGGGTTGGGGCCAAGGCTGCCCCACGCCTCAGCCCCAATCCACCCTTTCGGCGTCTGGGAAAGGAGCGCCAAAATAGCACTCCTTTCTCAAGCCACAGAAAGGGCTCCAGTAGAGCTGACATGCGGCTCTTCTGCAGCTCTTCTGACACAGCACATAAAGACGCTGCACCAGGAGGAAGTATTCAGGGCACGCGTCGTGCGTAATGGTGCATGCCCTGGTGACGTCCTCGGGGAGGGGTTGAGGCGGCCGGCATGCAGCTGCCCCTTCCCTTCCCTGCCTCCAAGACAGCGCTTTGCGCTGTCTGCAGAGGCCCAAAGGAGTGCTATTTTGGCACTCCTTTCCCAAGCACCAAAAGGGTGGATTGGAGCTGAGGCGTGAGGCAGCCTTGGCCCCAATCCTCCACTTCCCAGGGCTGCATCCCCCCTTTATTTATCAAATGTCACCATTGGACTTCACCACCCTTGAATAATGGTGGCCACCATAGGCACCATGCGTCTGAACTAAAGCTTTCTGATAGCCCTTCGGTAGCATTCTCAGGACAAGTGTAAAACGCAAAATTAATTTATTACACAGGCGTTCATCATAAAGATAACTACTGCTTATTTAACACATCTAAAAACTGACTGACCTTAATGAACTAACTCATATCTCACACTGCTATTCCTAACTAACAGAGGGTGCATCTACACTGTAGAAATAATGCAATTTGACAATTCCTTTCACTTTTTATTTTGTTGTATTTTGTTATTAACTATTATTGTGATATTCTAAAAGTTCTTTCTTCATCCCTCAAATATCTGTGAAATTGTGGAATCATTAGAT